ATACCAACCTGATGATGCTCCTTGAAGATGGAACCCACATGACACCTAAGGGATTTGCAGATTGGACTAGGGATGGGGTTACCAGGAGAAGGGGGTTGGGTCACATATTGATATGTATGATTTCGCACGCTTTTGCCTCAGATCTTGCTTTGCTTAGCTGCTATCTTTTCATAACCAGTAAAAGTACTCTTAAATGGAGTTAGGTGGTTTCTTTCTTGGTTGCTGAGGGAGGCTGGCTTGACACCCCCTTTAAATTCTCCTTTACCTTCTCTTGGATGCAAGCTATGAAGTTTCTCTAATTTCTATTTCCAGTTGGAAAATTTGAAGTGATATTCTTGTCACTAAACATGCATTTAAGTAGTATTAAAGCATATCATAAATAAAACACAGTAATTAAACAACTGAAAGAAGCCATTAAAAAGATGAATAAAAATTGCAGACTTTTACCTAAATCTGTGAAAATTCAGACTGACTCACTATTTGCAAATATGAGCAGGTGTTATGGGAACCTCTGCTAAGACAGACCAGGTTTTGTTTGCCAACATAGAGATAATGTCTCTTTCCTCTTCCTCTTTTCTTTTAACATGTCAATCCTGACTCCTGTTTATGCAGAAAGAGGCCTCGGGGTATCCACATGCATTCTTGCCAAAGAAGCTGGAACAATGCTTGGAGAGGGAGAAGTTTTACTCAGTCCTCCTCCAGTCAATAAATCCTCCTCCAGACAATGCCCTGATGAGCATAACTCTAGCTATTTCTTAATGACTATGTATGTCAAATCCTGGCTGTCACTATTCCCAGGGTTATAATTTTAAACGCAAAAGGAAGCAAATACATTATTAACCTTATAGAAGCCAATGAGCAAATGGGCTCTTTGAAATTCTTCTCTGGACAAGGAAAGGACTTGAGATAACCCACAAGTGTTCCAGATAATTGCTCCTCACAACAAGACTGCAAGATAGCAGTCTGCAGGGAATTTAGTACTCTAGGAGATAAGGGAACGCCATCTCACCTAAACCATAGTTGGAATGTTTATTGACACAGGGTTCACCTACTTTCTTTTCTAATCACTTTTCAAACATTAGGAACCTGTAGATTGACAGGTAGTTTTTTTCAATCCTTAGTGAAAGAAGTTTCAAATACAACTGTAAGGACTTTAAAAAAATTATTTTTTGCAAAAAGATAATTTTACAAATAAACTAAGGAGCCAGATGGATTTGAAATAAGATGTGAAATTAATTATAAGAATCATTCCCATTCAAAACAAATGCTGTTTGATAGGATGGGACTTTGAATGTTGGACACTATAGGGAACAGAAGGAATTAGTGTAAAGATTACAATGAAAATTGATCGCTTAAATTTGACTTACTAATACAGAATGGAGCAAAGAGTGACTTGGATAACATTCCTATGTTAACTCTATAAAAGAAACTTGTTAAAACTTTAAAAAATTGTGACGAGAGAAAAAGAAAAAATGAAAAGAAATTATGTTCTAGGATATTATTTCAAGGGATTCAAAAACACGATTGTCAAAAATAGAACGAAGGAATATAAAGTTGGTTTATTTGATCAAAATTAAAACAGATAGGTTACCTCTTGTTTTTTTTTGTTAACTGAATGACTGAACAACTTTAAGGATCTATTTATAGATAAAGAAAAAAAGAATTCACTGTATTTTAAGAGAAAGTGACTACTGCTCATCATTTTATGGGATCACCATATTGCAAGTTAAGAATTCTGGCAACTAATGGTAAAAATTTAGCCCATGATAAAGGAGATGTGAAGTCCTTGCTTCTCAACCTAGCAGAGACTTAAAGCTACTATCTCCCTCCCTGGATTGCCACCCCAACATAGATCATATAGGATAATCTCAGCACTGATGTTTCCGCTGAGAGTACAAAATTCACCTGGTACCCCCATTGCCATGGAGATAGATGATGATGGGGTTATCATCTGCGAGGGCCTCTTCATACCAGCTGAAGTCTTTTCCTTCAGCTTCTTCCCATCTGTTGCCTGCTAGAGCATACCTAAAACAGGAAACCAACAGATCAGACAGGCCCCTTTTTAGTCCTCCAAGGTAGGCCAGACCAGCCAACCTCAGAAGTACTGACTTTATGTTTATTGTAAGATTACATTAACAGAATCTTACAAGTCTTAAAATATTTCTCTCCTTTCCTTTTCCTCTCCAGAAACCTATAGAGGATCTTATGAAATGTTTCCCATGCCTTCCCTCCTTCTGTAGCTGAGATTATCCTACTTGTTATCTGAAGGAGGTAAGCTACCTTTGTCCAAATTACTTAATGAACCAGGTCACTGAATTAACTGAAGTAGCCTAGATGTTTATTTTAAAAAAGAATCAGATTCATACATGCATCAACGGAAACAAAGCAAAAATGAGGGAACACTGATTTAGCTTCTCTACTAAGGATATCACAGATGTCAGAGATCAATGTGGCAACTTCAACTGTGCAATCAAAGATGCTTTGTGCATGCATAAAAGGACAGGGATCAATTGTACAGTTGTGGCCACCATTTTGTCTTTGTTTACTTTTCCATGAATGCTCCATCTTGCTAATTTGAAGTAGAATGGGACAACTAACTGCAGCCAATTCACCCCGGCCAATGCACTGTGGGACAAATCAATGTGGTGTAACTCAAGAGAGGGTTAAGTGAATTGCAGTGAGCCTTGTCTCACTTTAGGTTTGAACTTTCTCATATTAAAAGTCTTCAAAGCTGGGGTGAGCAGCAATTCACTTGTCCCTCTCTTGAATTATCCTGCGTTGAATTGTCCTGTGGCGGGTTGGCTGGGGTGCGCTGCCTTAGACCTACCGGTACTTTGAAGTAATGGTCTCTTGGCCACAGATCTGATCTCAAGTGAGCATGATGTCAACTCATAAAGTTGCCATGGTGAGGAAAGGGGGGGAGGGCATTCCACACATAGTTTCGGCTAGTCAGATCTCAGATTACTGCAGCAGGTTTGGGAGGGGTGCACCTCATTGTGGAATGTGATTTATGACACAGGCTGAGGGGAGGGAAGAAACAGGGGTAAAGTTCAGCTATAATTCAAATGAGGCTCAAAATTGACCGCAATAAGGTCTTGCCAAATGGTGCTCCTAATAAATGACTAGTTTTCTTTTGAAATTTGGCTCAAGACTCATGACTCAATTATGGTATCTTTCAGAAACCTGACACATGACCAAGGGAACTCCAAATTGGATTTATATGTTTATTTATTTTACGAAATTTATATTGCTGCCTATTCGAATGTGGCAACTCATATAACCTATCCCAAAGAGGCTGATGGAGCCAAGTACTTACTCACCAAATACCAACAGTGACTCCTGGTTCAGAAGTAAGATAGAAGTTTTTGGTACGCTTTACAAATACCTCAGGTTTATGATAATCTACTCCAAAAGGATAAGCCACTGCAAAAGAAAAAAAATGACAAAGTTTGCTTTCAGTGAAATAAGTTGACCTTCCCTCCCATTTCCAGCCCCCTAAGCCAGGGGTCAACAAATAAAAACACTCAAAGAGCCATTTGGACCCGTTTCTCACAGAAAAGAAAACACCGGGAGCCACAAAGGTCCTACCCAAAACCCCCTGTTCAATTCTGGAGCTGACCGGAAGTTCAGTTCCCCCACCATAGAGTCTCCTCCTAGAGCGGTGTACTTTTTCCTCTACCTGTCATAACCAAAAGCCCTATCAATTGTGGAGACAACTGGAAAACCCTCCCCTTGCCATAGAGTCTTCTCCTTGTGCACTGTGCTTCTCTCCCCCCCCACCGGAAGCTCCTCTCAAAATTGTGGCGCCGACCAGTGACAGAGCCACAGCAGAGGGAGGAAAGAGCCACATGCGGCTCCAGAGCTGCAGTTTGCTGACCCTTGCCCTAGGCTATGACAAAGACTCTGAAAACTTCAAAACTTTAAAATTGTTTAAACTGGTTTATTTTCCCTGCACCCACAGAATGCTAGGATTTAATGATATTGTGATGGAAAGAACCACAAATCCTTCAGAAAAAATGATCCAGATTCTATCCAACCTTAATTCTGATGATATTTTGGATCAAGGGCCAGCAACATTTTCTTTTCTTTTTTTATTTAAGTTTTTTTTTATTTTTAAATGTATATAAGTATTAAATACATGAACAGCATGACTTCTGGGTATTAATTTTGATACCCAATAATAATAATGAAATTGACAATTTTGATCACCTTACATTAGTCGTACTCACATCTTTCTAATATCATTATACAAAACACAATCATCTTTCAACTTCTTATCCTTCCATCTACCTGCTGATTTTAACATGTTATATTACAATATAACATATATAATAAAACAAGGACCAGCAACATTTTCACGAGCTAAGCACTCATGTGATCTTGTTCAATAGTAAAGGTAAAGGTTCCCCTCGCACATATGTGCTAGTTGTTCCCGACCCTAGAGGGCGGTGCTCATCTCCATTTCTAAGACGAAGAGCCAGTGCTGTCCTAAGACGTCTCCATGGTCATGTGGCCAGCATGACTAAACGCCGAAGGCACATGGAACACTGTTACCTTCCCACTATTTTTCTACTTGCATTTTTACGTGCTTTCGAACTTCTAGGTTGGCAGAAGCTGGGACAAGTAATGGGAGCTCACTCTGTTACGCGTGCTAGGGATTTGAACCACCAAACTGCCCACCTTTCTTATCTACAAGCTCAGCATCTTAGCCACTGAGCCACCGCGTCCCATTGTTCAATAGTCAGGGCACCCAATTTTTTGAAAATGTATTTGAAGGGACCAAGATCTCACACAAGATCAACACATTTTATGTCAGATGCATGAGGTCACATCAGGAAGAAAGGCACAATCTCAAAGGAACCTGTTTTTATTTTTTGCAATAAGAGGAGAGCTGGGCTCTTTCTTCTTTTAGATTTAGGTTTATTTATTTAAATGGATATAATCTGAAGCAGTCCCCAGCTTTGGAAAATCAGAATATCAGTTGGAAACAAGTAAGAAACATCTCAAAAACCCTGTACTGTTCAGTAATTATTAAGCTAGTAAAACACATTTTTTTGAAAATGCTCTTTAAAACAGAAAAGAGAATTAAAAATATCAAGGAGTGCATTTCCTTTATCTATGACTGTAGGCTACCTCCCCATGTATTTTTTTCTCATGCTTACCCTGACAGGTGAAGAAACTAGTGTTATGCAATTGTTAGCTTTATCAATCTGTATTTAAACAAGCTTCTTGTAACTATCAGCATGGCTTTGGAGAGCTTGTTTGGCATCATAGTTAAAAGTACTGGTCTTAAAACTAGAAGTTCTAGTCCTGGTTTAGATATGGTTTCAGCTGAATGTCTTCACCCACCCGCCTCTCAGTTGTCAAGAAACCTGTGTGCACTTGTCTACATATCTGCCGGAATCAAGACTGATTCAAATGAAGAAAACAGCATTAAAAAAAAAAAAATGTCTTTATTTGATTACACAGGAAAAAAGAGAGAACATGGAGTGAAATATAATACTCTGATCATCCTTCCTTAATCTGTTTATGTAAAAAAGTATATTCATCACTTTAGCAACTAGCAATTTAGAAACCTTAGAGAGACTATGAAGTCGATCTTTTGCAATAATATTTTGAATGGATTTCTTGAGCACGACGCGTATCCACTGTTTTTGGGTTACAATTGCATTAGCTGACATTTTCAATAAAGAGTTACTTAGTCAAGTTGATAAAAACAATGATACTTCGAGTGGTTTCCAACAGGTCCTTAATCAGTAACTGATTTGTGAATTACTAGAGGCATACAGGAATACATTTATAGATATTTCTATTTTCAATTGAGATAAGTGAATAAAACAACAGGAATACTTACAAAAATTGAGGTAGACGAATTTTCTTAATACTGGAGGGAATAGTCGAACTGTCAATGGTACAGAGATATATATAATAAATAGATACAGTAACACCCCCAGGACCATAGAGACATAATTCAGAAGTTCCCTAGAGGAAAAAAAAATGGAATAAGACTTAATATATTGTTGCTTACAATAATTAGATTGCTTACAGTGGTAATCTAAGGACAAAAGGCTAATAGTTGTGATGGCTACAGGTAGACCTATGGCCACAACTGACCCCAAAATTTCTAATTGGAAGGCAGTTGTTAAGTGAGTTCCACTCTATTTTACAACCTTTTTAAGCACAGTTATGTAAATCAGTGTAGTTGTTAAGTGGATCATGTGGTCATTAAGCAAATCCAGATTTTCCCACTGATTTTGCTTCTCAGAAGCTAGCTGGGAAGGTCATAAATGGCCTTTTTGGGATCCCGGGATGCTGCAACTGTCGTAAACGCCATTGTCCAAGTGCCATTTTGCTCACACCACCATTGGGAATGCTGCAACGGTTGTTAAGCGTGAAAATGGTCATGTCACTTTTTTGCAGGGCCGCTATTACAGTCACTTAACAAATAGTTGTAAGTCCAGAACTACCTGTGTATATTACCTCCAGTAATGGAAGCTAGAGAGCCTAAAGAAGAGAGACAAGAGAGCTGGTTGGCCACAGAAGGGTTTTGGAATTTAGGAACCAGTCACTTACAAACTGTTGGAAGTTATGTCAGCCTCCTCACCCACTTACCCTCCCCCCCACAAAAGTTACTTATGACCCAGCTTTGAAGTTCAGATGTCTGGGCTCTTCCTGCAGTCGTGCAATTGCATTTTGGATACTAAGCAACCAGCCCCAATTAATGGCTGCCTGTAACATCTCACCATCATGTGACCACGAATTATGTTTGTGTTAGAAACTGACATTTGTTTCTGGCAAAAAGCAGCCCTTGTGAACAGTGGGTTAGCTAAACAACCGTATTATTTGCTTAACAACCACAGCGGTCACTTTACCAATGTAGCATTTTGCATTTGCTGCAAAGAAAGGTCATAAAACCGAGCATGGTCATGTGTTCACCTACTTAATGACAGCACAATTTACAAAGATAATTCCAGGCTCAATTAGGGTGGTAGGTCAAGGATTGCTTGCACATCGCTTTTGAACTGGCACAATATAAAATGGGGGAAGCAATGGTTCCTCAAATGTTGGGTCATTGGTCTCATTATCACTGATTGTAAGCCTTGAAATCTAGGCACAACAGCTATTGGACTTGGTTATTTTCAGCCACATTACTTCTTGTGGTTCGAAATCACAATTTCTGCCATACAATATTTCTCCCCAAGGGAAGAGCAAACTGAAACCTACACGACAACGCTGGAACTGTAGAAAGCTCCTCAGCTTCCAGATGAAGGGTTTTTTTGAGAGCTGAACCGGCAGTAATGCTAGCAGCAACCCATCCCTGGTGAGTATAGGATTGGTTTTCTGTTTATATACAATAGCTTACCCTGCTCATATTGGTGGGGATGTGGTCTTCTCCTTCATGGTTCCTTTATTAGGGTATTGCTTTCTACTTAACTGTTTGTCTGGTGTTAATCCATGGTGTTAATGGCTGGTTACGAACTGCAGTGAGGTGACACGAGGCTGGATCCAGGCGGTCGCGACCGCCT